TTATTATAGCGATCGATTCAAAAACATTTTTCGATCGATCTAAGCTTGTTGTCTACCGTTCTGTCTGTCCGTCTGTCCGTTTGTCTTGCTTTCTGTCTGCAAGCTGCAATTTTTGGAATATTTTAATGAAATTTCCTACACCGATATATTCTAGCCCAAGGACGAACGCCATTAATGATGATTCGGATCGAATAACTTATTTTGAAAAATCGATGTTTGGATAATTTTAGGGTGGTGTAGGGCATTTAACGCTGCTCCCTCACCCACTATAGTGATTTTATGTGCTTTGCATTAGTTCTAAGGTTAAAGCTCTGACCTTCTTGCAAGCCGATGGTTAGTTTAAATTTGTTTTAAACTTTTATAAATATGATAAAATATATCAGTATGTATGTGGAGTCAAGGTTAGTGCATTACTAGCTAATGCGAATAACAAATTACTGTGAAACTTTCCGATTTCCTTTATTTTTCTTTGGGAATTCAACCCAAGCATAAATTGTAGGGGTGTCCATTAAAGCAATATTGCTTAATGCGCGCAATTTACCTATGTCGTACTTAAACTAGCTCTTAACCTTAAAATGTCACGATGAGTCGAAAATGAATTGTTGTTAACTATTATCGGTTGCCAAGCTTATGCACGTTTGCGATGGCTTAGGGGTTCAATCGCAAATTTAGTCCTGTACCGGTTGTGGGTGTGGCTCTATACTAGTTGTGTACATGCTATTTTTTTTTACTTATACTAAATATTAATATTAATTAATTTAAAATTTACTTTAAGAGTCAATTGAACTCGACTGTCAAAATTTTTAGTTGAGTTTCTTATATAAGTGGAATAAATAAATAAATAAATAAATAAATGAATAAGCTTTAAGGTCGTTCGGTGCCAATGCAATCGTCTTATTTTCTTTCCCGTACCCATGCATAATAAAATTTCACGAAATCACCATATCAAGCATCGCAAAATTATCAAGCGTGTATTTACCTAAGCAATAATAAACAACTGGAGTTTTATTTTTTGACGCTTCTGTTTCTACTAACACATTTTATATTTTATTTCAATTTATATTTTATTTCAATCTCGTAGATCGGAGGTGTTGTCATGTTGACCGTAAAACTACAATTATTTATCTATTTATTAATTTATTTTTTTTTGTTTTTTCGGAAAAGTAAAATATTTTTATATGGCAACTCTGCTCTTAACCAATATCAAAAACCATGAGAAAAACTAAAATGACTTCAACAACAAACTTGTTTTTTCCAAAGACGCAAACATGCACATGCTAGCACATGTATATATATGTATATATATATAATGCGTGGCAGGAGAGTAAAAAAGCGCTAAAAAACAAATTAATAAAGTTTTTATAAGGGATTCATTATCAGTTAGCAAAAAGAGTAATTTCCGATCGCTGTTATCATTAACGATGTCTCGCAGTGCAAGTCAATTTTTCTCAACAAAAGTATTCTGAATTTCTCACTGTAAGTAAAGTGTCTTTTATGGAAACTTGCCTCTGGAACAAATCTATCCTACATTTTTTGGGATAGAAAGAAAGCCCGATTAATATATGATTACCGGAGCGGCCGAGTGCGCAGAGGATTTCGACTGGCAATGCAAGGGTCGTGCTTCTAGTGCTTCAAGATTTCAATCTTCAAATTTATTTTCCTGAATGAGTTATTAATAATAGAAGACCATTACTCAAGGCTTTCCGATTATTTCGATGGGAAAAATTGTGGCGAGAGAGAACATAATTTTACAAATTATCTCGTCCAAGATTTTGATCTTTTTTCCAACTTTCGAAAATTTTTACATGCAAGCGTTCGTATACCCTATAATACATGCCTTACAAGTGTATATTAAGTTTGTGTAGATGTATGTAACACCCAAAAGAAGTTGAAATATTGAAATATTGGACTGATTTCTGAAGAAATCTAAGCTTGACGGTCCGTCTATCTGTCTTGCGTTCGTTTGTTTAACCTGCAGGTCGCAAAATTTTTATTTATTTTGACAAAAATTGCGTCCACTGGCATGTTTTGGCGTGAGGATGAACGCTCTTGAAAATGACTCGGATCGGCCCACTTTTTGGTGCATTTTGACATATCGCATCCTATTTTAAAAAGTCGTTGTATGAATAACGATAACGGTACTTAGCGAAGCGGTGTACGTTATTTAATAATGAACTTTGTCCGATTATTGTGCTTTTACTTGATTTTTTAATTATCGTAGATAATTACGATATTGGAAAATCGCTTTGGAAGCGAATGCGTGAACGTGTTACTTAGTAACAAAATGTGCTCGCAGCTGTCGTGATTACTCGATAAAAGTCGACAACAAAAGCCGAGTGGACATGCACCCATTAAGCTATGGCCCACTCCCTATGTTTTTCTCATTTCTTTCTACTCCTCATTATGTTACACGAATAGGGGAACCTCTCTGATATGCTGGTCGCAGGAAAAGACAAAAGGCCATATATGTTGGTAGCAGGTCACGATCAACTGTGTCCGCCAAAAAGAAGAGGCAAACAGATATTACTTGCACCCTATAGTCAAGATAAATTTAAAATTTGGTAAAAATATCATCGAAAGCAAAATGTAACAACGGCACGCCTACAATTAACAACGCAATTTACAGTTTTTTCTTTTTTCCTTTTTTTTCTCATTAGCTTGACATCATAACTAAATACATTTGGAGGTTTGGGATAAGGAAATGTTTTATAGAAACCCGGAAGGATAACTTACGATCTGTAGCGAGTTATTTGGAGATATTTGGATTGAAATTTTACTCTTCCCTGGAACAGCATTCGAAAAGACGGGGAAACTGAATTTGAAAGTCTTTTTTTTTTTGTCAGCGAATTTTTATTCGAAATGAAATGAAAAAAGAGTGTTCATCTTCTTCTTCTCCTTTTTTTTTGTTTTCAGACAACTCGTTGTAAATTTTTCAAAACGTGATACATTAGTGACAGTTTATAGAGCAATAATAATAAAAGTTACGAATATTCGCATTTTCTCTTACTATTTATAGAACTAATGGATTTAAAATTTTTTATTCTGTCTTTAGAGAAACACGCGTTTTTTCCTCTTAAATTTTTTTCTTCTTTCTTTTCACGTTTTCAGTAAAAATATTTACTATTATTATTATTATTATTATATATTATAAATTTAGCCAGAAAATACATTCTAAGGCAAAGTCTTAAAGCACTAGCATCTAAGGCTTTCGGCTTTTATTAAAATGTTTACCGCACTTGAGATATGAACCCATGACCATTGAGTTGCTAGTCGAGACTCTGGCCTTCTCGACCACTCGGGCGGATTTTCTGTTTTTTTTTTATTTTCAACGTAAAACAAGTAATACGGGTCCGCAAGCAAATAGATATATATATATATATGTATCTATACTAAAGTTATGCATATATATTCTGTAACGATATTCCGTTCGGAATTACCAGTCGTCTGGTCAGCCACTGTTGATTCCAATCAATCAAGTAAACACTTTAAACAACTTTGACTGATCTTTGTGCCAGCAGTAGACGTTTCACATAATTTCGAGATTAACGAATCAAGTCTTCCGGGAAATTTAAGAAAGCTAGCGATGTTAAACAAACTGAATTGTTTTACTATAAATTTATGCGTCGACGCACTACACATTTTTGCTTTTATTTAATTTATAATTTCTTTAGCTCTATTATACCCATCACCCGAAGGATGAGTGGAGTATTCGTTTTGTCAGAACGTTTGCAATGGCCAGAAGGAACAATCAGTGATCCCACACCGTATACATATTCTTGCTTAGCATCAAATCTTAAATCGATTTAAGCATGTCCGTCTGTCCGTTTGTATGATGTATTTTGTAAGTATTCTTGTGACCAGAAATATGAAGCTATCAACTTCAAATTTGGCAGCAACAGTGGAACTTCTTGCTTGCAGGATAGTATTTCAAATGGGCTAAATCGGTCGAAGGACACACCCACAACACCATGCAAATTGAGAACACCTCTGCTTTTCGAAGGGAATGAAAAATTGATTGTTTGCTCATTACTCATAAACTCATATTGCAGATAAATGTGCGAAAATTTTGAAGCCACGCCTACTCAGTATTGTAGTGTATCAAAAGTGAATTATTTCTTCAATACCTTTTTAACGCGCAGAAACAGGCTTGAGAAAGTATACAAATTGTTCGCCCGTCACAAATCTTGAATTCACCTAAAAATTTCCGCATGTTTGTCTGTCCATCTGGGTGTTTGCGTAACTTGGTAGTATTTGTGTTAAACATTCTCTCGTTAGCGAAACGGAAAATATCGCTCAAAAATTTGCAAAAAAATTTAGAAATAATCTAAACTTTTCAAAAGACACGCCTACATCGCCCACACGCCTATACAAGAAAAACTTATATTTTGAAAATAGAAAAAATCATCTGCGCACAACACTCCATATTATAAAGCACGAGAATTTTGTTGTTTTTTTTTTTTCTTCTGCTTCTCTTGGCTTTTTCTGGGGTAAACGATGATGGGTATTAAAGATTCGTTTTCGATCGAATTTAATTTTCTTAGTTTTTTTTTTTTTTTTTTTTTTTTTTTTTTTTTTTTCCATGTAGGTAGTGAAGTTTTTTTTTCCTTTTTTTTTTTTTTTATTTTTTATATATTTCTTCTGATATTTGTTTACAACATCACTTGTGAGGTTATGATTCATAAAAACACCCACATGTTATGTACAGCTACGATTTAAGCGAAATGTATAGAAAAAAAAAAAAAAAATAAGGAAAAATTGCAATAAAATATGCAATGCATTAAATTATTGTACCCTGCGAACATGTATACTACTCACGTACAAACATGCATGACATGTTTCGATTATCAATAAAAATTGAACATGAACAAAATTCATGACAATAGATAGATCTATAGAGAAATTCAAATGATGATTTGATTGATTGCATATACATTTAAAATTATATTTATGTTGTTATTGTTATTGTTATTGTTGTTGTTATTATTGTTGTGTATTTGCAGAGGCCCGTTTAACCTCTAAAGAGTTACCAACGGCTGCCTGGAGACGGGAAAGACGTTTACGGACTGGTGAATATCATACTCACCATCATAGTTTGAATTCAACTGGTTCCTCGACTAGCAGCGTTCGTGCTTGCTCTACGCCTGGCTCTTCGCCGCCACCACCGCCCACAGCTCATAATCAACAGCATTCGCCTACGACGTCTGTCGCTACAACAACATCCTCGCAAATTCTTCATACGGCTCAATCTTCACCTACGAACGCTCAACAAATGTCTATGATGATGGCGGCGGCAGCAGCCGCTGCCATGCGACCTCTTTGCGACACGCCTGGCAATCGCAATTCTACAACATCGACTACACCGCCACCCGATCTTCATGCTCAGCAGCCAGTTGGGGGAGCTTTGCATTTAAATCACTTAAGGCACGGCCAAACTTTCCATCAGCACTTGCATGAGGATCCGCCTAACGAAGACAGTCCCTTGGATATGTCGTTATCGAGCACACTAAAGCAACGTAACTCGCCCCCACCACCCTATCGGGAACCGCTGCCTGGATCAACCTTTGCTACCACTTTGGCTAGACCAAGTGTTATAACGCAGGCGCCACCAAAACGTGAAATACGCGAAAACACTCTTATAACAAATCGAGAACATGACAACCGCAGTACAGGTAATTAAAATAATTTTATCATACATGCATAACGTCAATTACAGACCAAAGAGAAGAGAAAATGATACACTGATGAACACTGCATAGCTAAACTCCGAAAATACTGTCCCCATTTCGCTTATATGTATGCGTTGCTTCGATTATTTCTTGAACTTTCACAAGAGACTAAATAGTATGAATAGGTGAATAGATGGAAAGTCTGTAATATTTGATTACTCTATCATGTCTTCTGTGTGCGTACCGGTCTGATGCCGGTAGCTTTAGCTTTAGATTTGATTACATGTCGCCTTAGACTCTTATCACAACAAACAAACCTTTTATTCTTATTATTATCTTGCGTTCAATACCAACCACAATCGGTTTTCCTTGGACCCCTTACACCGGGTAAGCTTTCACGCCTACGTTGCATAATTTCAATCGATTTTTTTTTTTTAACATATTAGTTGTAATGATATATATCAGCCACCACTATTTACTCAATATATTATTTTCTTCTTCTTATTCGTCTTTACTCCATTATTATTCTTAGGCGAAAGTCAGCCACGCACTTCCTCAGTCATTAGCTATTTATCCTTTGTTTTTCTTTATACTTTCTTGGCTGGTCGGTCATTTCACATAATTCGCGATAAAGAACGTCGTATGCACATTCGGTATAAAATTCTGTCATGTTGTGTATCCCTAAAAGAGATCAACTTTATTCAAAGACTGTAAGTAAGATAAGTCTGCCTTTTTTGGCATTTATAAATTAAATTTAGTCAGATTATATGTTGGGGGATCCTTGCGGTCCCTTGGTGGTGTGTACTCGAATGCCAACATGGCTGTAGAGTTGTTCAGATTAAAAGTATAAGTTATAAGTTATAAGTTACATAAACCAAAGCGAGAACGGGGGGGTGTTGGATACGAAAATCGCCTCGAAAGCAAATTTTATCAAATAACTTTCACATACGAAATGATTTTCGCATGCGATACAGAATTTCTCGCAACTCTGCGACGTGCTATTTACTTGCCTTGGAAATGCCTAAGAAGGCGCTAAGCAGTTCAATTCACTTTTGCTAAGAATTTTTTTGGTGAAAATGTTTAGTAACTCAAATCACTTTCAAATCCCTTTTGAATGGTGAAGCTCAACCGATTTTAATGCTCTTTTTTCTCTTTTTGTTATTATCATTATGTTTGCAGAATCGATTGATGAGCACTTCAGACGTTCCTTGGGAAATGATTATTTTACTTTATTTGCGAAAAAATCGCCTGCTACTCAACAATATAAAACGCCTTCGCCGCAGCCGACAAACGCATCAGCTTTAGTGCACTCGACAGGTACTCCGCCGCCACCGCCACCAGCTCAAGTAACAGCGCAACTTTCGGCTTATACTTCCAGCAACGCGCCGCCGATTCATCATCAACAACAACCTCAGCCTTTAATTTCGCCAAAGCCGAATGCAATGCTTCTATCCCCAGCGGCCATTGTGGCTCAAATGCAAGCTGTTAACCAAAATCCACAGAGTTCACCATTGGCTTTACAAAGAATCCCCGGGACACTTGCATCCCCGCAATCGCCTGCACCTAACGTCAACAACAACAACAACAACAATAATAGCGGTGGTGGCGCTACGAAAAACGTAACAACATCGCCTCTCTCTAGTACTACAGGCTCTAGAAACGCTTCACCTTTGCCCATGCCGCACACAATACCATTGACCCGCTTGAATTCCGTAGAAAATTCTCCGACTTCTTCGCCACGTCATACGCCACCTGTAACGCAAAGTGCAGTAAATAGTTCACCAACTTTGCCGGCAATAATGCGCATTAAAACTGAACCGGGATTGCAAAGTGTAAAAAATCATACACCCACTCCACCAGCTTCGCCGACTAGTGCCACAGCTATGCCAGGAAGCCTTTTAAATAATGCGAATGTCTCGAGCTCTAATTCAAATTCAAATTGTTCCGTATCTTCATCGACGACAACAAGCCTTAATAAAACTAACAGCAATTCGGGAAGTACAAGTGCTGAAGTGTTGGCTTCCGTAGACGATCATTTTGCCAAAGCTTTAGGTGATACCTGGAAAAAGCTGCAGGAAAGCAAAGAAATGCGCAAATGAGTAACCGCAGGATAAATGATATAACAGACGACTCTGACTCAGACTCAAACTCAGACTCAGATTTGGATTCAGAACTTAAAATGTTACTCAAAAGCTAAGACATAAGAGATACACTACTAAACACATCTATCACATGTATAAAAATTTACTACACTACTACTACTGCTACTGCTATTGCTATTGCTATTGCTATTGCTATTGCTACTGCTACTGCTATTGTTACAGCTATCCTTAATAACTAACAACACACATGCTATTTTACTACATCAATAAATACACAATATATATATATATATGTATATATATATATATGTATATTATTCTCAGTAAACTGGGGGCTGGCACTGCAACAAAATTTAATTAAACAAAAAAAAGTATACTTAACTATAAATCAAGATCTCAAATTATAAAACATTTTATAAAGTTATTAAGAATCTATAAAACTTTCTATATATTCAGCGAGAAAAGCTTATTCCTTTTTGAGGGCGGAGCGGCACATACAGGAAAGAACAGCTTTTCAAGTATTATTCATAATATAATGCGTTCGTTACTCTTAAACATTTAATTTTTCATAGTTGATAAGATGATATATATTTTCTTTTTCTCTCTCTCTCTTTCTCTCTCTCCCTCTCTCTTTCATTCTTTATTTTTGTCTTTATTAAAACTCAAAAAAAAAAAAAAGTTTCAATTTTTTTTTCACTTTATTACTTTTACTTATTTCGTAAACATTAACTCACACGATCTTTAAATGGACAACAATTTTATTTTATATATAATTAATAATTATTCATATTATTTTGTGTTATATGCAAAAGGCAAGCCTTAAAGTGAATTCCTATTATTTGATTAAAATTACATTACAATTTTTTGTAATTATTAGAAAAAACAACAAAATTGGGGATAACCAGGATAAATAAAAATAAAGGAAATCTTTTTTAAAATATAAACCAAATTTTCTTTGTAAAATCGAAAAAATATGAAATATATCTGACTATGTCTATACGCGACTTAAATTAATATTGCCTTAGATCTTAGATCTTAGCAGAAGGTCTACGAGAATTGTGCATCAATAATATCGGATTATCCTGCCTCAAATCATATACCGCATATAAATGGTAATAAGCAAACGATATTCGATTCAAGGATTGCTAGAGCAAAGAGAAACTTTTTATATACGTAATACGATATATGCAACGCATATGCATTTTACATCATTTAGCAGCACTTGATAGGCAATTGTGCATTGTGTGCATATATATATTAATATATATATATATATATATATATATATATATATATATATATATATGTATACGTATGTGCATATATACTTATATATGGAATAGATGAAGGTGGCTCTTTTCTAGATAGATAGCTTTAAAGTTTCGTTCTATCAAGCCGTCCTACTATGGCGCTAGTGAAAGGTGGCAGTCCATTGATAAGTAAAGACAAGATACAAGTCACAATCAGTAGCACATAAATGGTTTATTCATTTCACTCTGAAAATTTCAATGTGGGAATTCGAAGGGCATGCTTTATTATGGGCTCCATTCTGCACAGAGAATTGGTTTTCTTCTCTTTATTAGAATAAGAGCCTTATGCCAATGCCAGATCACACCCATCTTTATATTCGTGAAATGTTCATGATACTTATCTGCTGCCTCGTTCTAATGCCATTTATTTCGTCCTCTTCAGAAATCTTTTAATAGACTCGAATACCGAATTGCAAAAGAGCCCTGTAAAAATCACTTGGTTCTCACATTTTTGCCCAGAAATTTGCGAAGCTCTACGGTGAAAGAAAGAAATATTGCAAAATATTTTTACAAAATTCATTTAATGAATAGGAAAAACGTATTTGACCTTGGTCGGTAAGAGGCCAGATACTTTTTCCTTGATGTAATATAAAGGCGTGCGTGCGTGCATTTATGTCATTTAGCCTCAAGTGGGATAGAGTGAAGGACGTATCTATTTCAAAATATATATTCTTACACGATTTAGCAGCGCCGTGCTCCATAATTGTTTTAATTATATGGGATGTCATTTTTTTTTTTTAATAGTTGCGATTGAAACCTTAAAATTCCTAAAGTTTTCCTTTTTTTTAAAGAGGAAAATTTCAAACTAATTTTAATATCTTTTAAGATTATAATTTGGAGAAAAGAAACAAATTTTAGTTTATTTTTAGACAGTAATGGTAAGAAAAAATCGCGACTAAGTTGATTATATTAGGTAAAGCTTCAAAGTCTGAATCCTAACCAATTTTCATATTGTGATAAAATTATGAATACTTTATGGGGTCTTTGGGGCGTACAAATATTTGACAAAATTTAATAAACGTTATGTGGTCGTGTGGTAATATAAAAATATTTGAGCTGGATGTCGTTCATTTTAAAGATTTGATTATTTTACGCACCAAAGAAACATATTTCACTTCTCTTATTTTATAATATGTATATATGTATATCCTGAACGGCAAGAAAATAAAGGAAATGAGAGCGAAAAATATTATACTGCCATCTAGAGAGTAATTTAATCAACGCGACGAACTCAATCTCAGCCAATATCAATACCTCAAAACAATTTCAATCTGGCAAGTCTATATAAAATTATATCAAGTGTACTAACCTTTCAATATAATATGAAAGGTATTATTACATAAAATATGCCTTCATTAGCAATAAATTTCGATAACTCCAATATTCATTCTTACAGCTTAAATAAAAAACAAATTTTAGTCTCTGGCTAAATTAATAATAATAAAAAACAAATTGATTAAACAGCACATACATTAGTTTATTCAATACACGGTATGCATCTAAGCTAAGTAAATTCTATTCGATATATTAAATATCTATTTATTCCAATTTTTAATAAAGTTTTCAAAAAAGAAAAACAATATTATTAAAGTGTTAGGTTTTGTTAAAATTCATAATATGAAATGTATTATTTGAACGTCCTAAAAGTGTATGATTTTACGTAAATACTCTAAACTGCTACAATTGCATAGCTCGAGATCAATCAGTGAATCTTAGTTTGCTCAACAATTCACTTGTATCATTATTATATTTATTATCTACAGGCTTTAAAGTAATATTAACATTTATTTAAATATTTTAAACTCAACATATATTAATAATTTGTTAATTATATTTACGGTACACCGTAAATTGACTAGTATTGCCAAATTTAAGTACATATCGTAAACTGTCAATCTCAAAGAAATTCTTTGTCAATTTTTCATAATTAGATATCGAATTTAGCAAAAACAACTCTCGATTGTCGCCTTTTCGCCCAAGAAATTCCGTGTATTAATATTGTGTGAGTGAAATAAAACATTGAAATATTATCGATATTTATTTTAAACAATCTATAAACCTTTAACTAATGGTGAATAATGAATATTATTGTGCAAAAGTTTTACTAAATATCCTTTTTTTCAACGAGAAAAAAAAGGCATTTTCTTGCAGAGGCTGTTGTCAAATAAAAAAAAAAAAAATTTTTGACAGCTTCCAGAAAAAAAACAACAAAGTAAAATTAATAGTCAACAAAGATAAAACAAAAATCATGTTTGACGCATGTTCTACTAAAGTTAATGCAAATCAAAAAAGTGTTATTAAATAAAATTAATTTAATTTTATTAATAAAACAAGTTGGATTGATATTAGTTAAATGTAAATTGAAAAATAATAAGAAATAAGCTTAAAAAAGGAAAAGTGTGAGCGTAAGTATGTATGTGTAACAAAATAAAAATGTCATATAGAAGAAATAACGCGCAGTAAAGAGTTGCCAGCCATATTAAAACGAATCTAATAGTGTAAGAAAAAATTTTAGTTTTGTGTAAAATTTTAATAAAAAAAAAATTTTTTTAATGATATTAAAATCAGTTCAGTAATCATTATTTAATTCATTATTTGGAAAATGCAAATATTTTGCAATTAGAAAATTTGAAATTATAAAAATTAGAAAATGGCATATCATCAGCTGTGTGTGTTGTCAAAATATTATAGATGTGAACAGAGAAAGAGCGAGAGAGAGGGAGAAAGGAATAGAGAGCGTGTATGTCACTGAGAAAGTATAAAATACAAGGAAAAGAGCAAAAAATGTGAATAAAAGAAAATCACAAAAAATCGTGTCAAATCCAAACAATTGCAAAACAATTTTCTCCACAGAAAAACAAAAATTTTTACTTGAATTTATTTGAAAAATTGATAAAATGCCATAAAATACAAATTTAATTGTTTTAATTAACAAAAATTTCTTATAATCATGACAACTATCCTTAACACTTATACTAGAATAAAAATTTTCTTTGGAAAAAAATTGGTAACAGAAATAATGTGTGAAAAGTGCGTACAATAAACTGATGGTAAAAAAAAAAAAAAAGTATGAGCAAAGAAGGACATGTGAATTTTATGGAAAGTAAAAAAATTCTTTAACGCCTAATTATGTGAAAAACATTTTTATTAAATAATTTCAAGAAAATTTGCAAATGAATCAATATGTACAAACATATAAAAATTCGAGATTTCTGTTGTCGCTCTTATATATTTTTTCCCCGTCTGCTCGATATGTGTGTGAATGATTATTTGTTATAAATTCGGTTATTTATTAAGTGCTTTCTTATTATCAAATTCTGTTTTAGACTAGTGTTAATAACAAATAGTTTAGCAAAACAAAATGCAAAGTTGGTAAGAAAAACAAAATCATCTAAAATAGAAAAATCTATTAAAACAAATACTGCAAACTTTTGGGGAATAAATATTTTGTCAGAAATTCGCGCAAATTTGTTCTAAACTTCTTGTAAAGTGTTAAGACGATTTATATTAGAATTTTCTTGGCTGTCAACTAAATTGTGGATCTGGGCTCTAAGAACACGCGAAACAGTTGATCTTTTTCACACAATGACATCTTAGGGAGCAAAAACAACAACAACTACATACACCTTCGCGACAGCAACAACAATAACATTTTTTTTTTATCACAAAAATATATTAACAACAAAAGCAACTCTGCACTCTTGCTCTCTCTTTTTCTGTAGTACTCTACTCTGTTTTACTCTTATGACACACACAAGACGTCAACGTATTTCTGTTTTTATTATAAAACACATATAAGAACAGCAACAACAACAATAAGAAGAAAAACCATAAAGGATTATTAATGTCAATGGCACCTAAAAAAAAAAAAACTAACAAGAAATCGGTGTAACCAGACAAAAGTTAAAAAAATCGTCGCGAACATTTTTTATAATTATTGTAACAAATAAACCGCAGGACAAATCATTAATCACAACCGAGAGAGGCGTCGTTTATAGTGCTCTCCGCTAATAACTGAAAAAAGAGTTCCTTGAATGTTTATTTTATTAAAAGAAATTTGCTGAAGATTTTGAATGTCGTTGTCAATGCTTAAATCACTTCATAGTTGGAAGTCTTCACTGGCACAATGCAAAGTTTGGATTCATCATGTCAAGAAGCTGATGTAAGTTAAAAACAACCTTTTCTCTATATATATACATACAATTTGTTTTTAAATGGTCCTCTCCGCTCGTGCCTTAATATGTAATTTCAAGTAAGGCGCTTAAGTGTTTAACGCTATTTAGAGGTACTTTTTTTTAGCAAACACGTTAATCCATTAAATTGTAAATTATCTCTTCTTTATCTTTTTGCCATAAAACTTCCTGTTTGCCCAAACCATTCAGTTCATAATAAATGATACACTGAAAAAGCTTAAAGGCTCCAATAGTGGCAATAGTAATTCGAATTCAGCACCATTGGCCACGTCTAGCAATTTAACGCATCCTGGCAGCGCTTCAATACTCAGGCAAACGCAGCAACAAAACACACAATTATCCTACCATCATGCCGCCACCTCTCACAACAAATACCAGCAACAGTATCATCATCTACATAGTGCTCTTCAGGGTACAAATAGCAGCAGCAGTGCAACGAATGTTGCCGGCAGCGGTATTGCACTTAATAACAGCAATAACCTGCCGCAACTTTCACCACAGTCTCCTCTTCAAAGTCTGCCACCGCCTAGTCTGGTTTCAGCGGGTTATAGCCACAGTTACAGCAATAAAAGTTCCCTCATAGATTCCAGTTTGTTGCACTGCAACATTTCACAAATACCGAGTCAGCCGCCTTTATGTATATTCGAAGGTGACGCCGATGATGAGACACCGACTGATCAACCTCCCATAGAATTGCTGGCATCTTGTAATAGTAGTAGCGGGGGAGGATCTTTACATTTAGACTCTTTATCTTTGCTGACACAATCCACAAATAACAGTGGCAACAACAACAGTAGCTCTGTCATAGTGCCGCTGGCAGTTCCTTCACCGGTATCATCTTGCTCTGCTTCCTCGGTTAGTTTATCGAATTTCAATTCGATTACCTCTCCGTCACCGATTGTACCCGACTTGTTACTATCCACTCCGCCAGGTGTAAATTCCAGTTCATCAAGCTCTCATACCAGCAGTCATAGCAATAATAATAATAACAACAACAACAATAAAAAGGCTGAAAAACGTCCTTCCGCAACCACATCTAACAGTGGTAACAACAATAGCATCTCCCATCATCATCAAAATCATTTGCCACATGCTACACATCTGTTATCGTCGACCAATACGACATCTTCTTTAACGTCGCCTACCTCATCGCCCAGCAAGCGACAAAAAACAAAAGACTCGTCATTAACATCTCTGTCCTCTAGTACAACAACAGCAACAAATAAACTTTCAATACATTCTCCTTCCCTGGCAAGTCGAATTGGTTTAGCACAAACCTCATCAATTTCCAGCTCTTCCGCAGCCTCCTCATCGTCTAAACGTGGTGGTGACTTGTCGTCAGCAAACAGTGTCAGTTCTTCTACAATCTCAGGTTCCACGGTACCGTCATCTCATCGATTTTTCAACATCCATGAACGTATTAAAGAACATTACCTGCAACTTTTGGCTAATGACCTGAACTTATTTGCTGAAATTGGGGTAAATATATCTTTATATCACATCTTAATGCACGATTTCCTCTATTTGGCTTTTACTTTTGTGATTTTTTCAGCTTAAGCAACGTACTCGTTCCTTTATACTTGAGCGTGTGGTGGAATGTGAGAAACTCAATACGATTGTTGTAAATTTATATCCCGGCAACAAAGGTTATGCTCTCGCTCTACATTATGACGATCGCCAACAATTAACTGCCGAATCTGATGGATCTCTACATATTCTAGGCGCTCACTACGAATCTATCAACTCTTCTTCATTATCCTCCACGAGCTCCGTATCTACATTAGCGTTACATAAGAGTATTTCTAGTCGAAATTCAGCCAGTAGCAATCCCACACTGGGTAGTAATACAAAACTTTTTCATTCTGTCGTGCCACCCGACTTGAAAACCACAGAATTTGATGTGAAACACAAAAGAATTCATGATGCGTCTTTCATAGACAATTCATTCGACAGTGCAGTCAGCGAATACCCTTTGGTCGAAGTCTTACGATGGCCTTACGAAAATGATCAACTTTTGCAGTGCATTGATCGCGAAGTTTTGCCTGATTTCCTAATGGATATGCTGGTGGCCTCTACCGTAACTTTACAAGCCCCCCAAGATGACAGTACGGCGACAGCGCGTCTCTATGTTAAGCCGAATGTCTTTTATGGTGGTTGTGTAGTGGCTCAAGTGCGGGATTTCCGACAAACATTTGCCACCTCAACAAATATCTGTGATACGAGGCATGTATTATTAAGACCCACCAATGCAACCTTGTTTGCCGATGTCCAACATATTGCCACTATCTTGAGTCAAAACTCTTCTTCGTCATCATCGGCTGTGTGTTGCGCTCCCGAAGACAAACCAATTCTGGAAAGCCAATTGGTTTTGGCTACCGCCGAACCTCTATGTTTGGATCCTGACCCCAGTATAGGTCGCCATGCCATTAACAGCCAACACGAACGCCAAATCTTTTACACTCATGAACTCAGACGCCAGATGAAAAAGTACACTCAAATTGCCATTAATCGTAAAAGAAAATTGGATCAGTTCACTCATCATTATGGTTTGGAGTTGTGCGATTATTTAACACGTTTACGAGCACGACCGCGGAATGTTGGCGCTAGTTCAAGTACTTCGAGTAGCGGAAATTCATTGGTTAATGCGAGTATGCTAAGTTCATTTGCGTCGAAGGTGCCTAAGAGACCAAGAGATGTAATACGACCCATAAGACCACCACGTCTAGACTATCCTGCCAACTTGAAAGTGCCCGATCAATTGATCAACGTGGAGAAATTCGCAAAAATTAATGAACGACCGCGCGAAACCACCGATTGTCATCCAATTTTAATAGAAGAGTACATTTTGGAGACGGAGCGAGAAGACAACGAAGGGCGTCGCGTGATTTATCACATCAAACTATCGATATTTCAGCGGCCCTCTAATTCTGAGTACCTGGGCGAATTGTATGTGGATCGTGATTATCGAGAAGGTGAGCGCAACGGCGAGTCCTGCCGTTTTCCCTTAGGCACGAGGGTGCACGCCAATCGTTACATACAACAGTTCACTGAAATATTCACTGAAGAAGGGCGCAAGGCAGTAAAAATTACTCATCTAGTGCCCGGCCACCTGCCTAAAGTAACACACACAGGTATAACCCCAGAACAAAGACAAGCTCTCTTGTTGCAACAACAACAGCAGCAACAACTACAATTGCAACAAAGACAAGCAGCTCTGCTAGCAGCCCAACAACAGCAACAGCAGCAACAACTACATAAACAAACTATACAGGCACCTGCGACAACACAACAGCAACATATGGTTGTAGTTGGACCAAACGGTCAGCAGCAACACATTCTACCGGCCACCGTACAGCATGTAAGCAGTAGCACCACTCAGACTATTGGAGCTGGTCACCAACCACATCAAGTTGCGAAAAATATAAATATATTAGGTATAAGCAGTAATAATGCGGCAAGCGTGCATCAAGTACTAAGACAACACCAGCAGCAGCAGCAGCAGCAACAACAACAACAACAGCATCCTGCCCAAGTGGCAACACAGTTTCTTGACGCAAATGGTGCAACTGTTCAGTTGCAGCATGCCACACTCACTGCCACAAATGTCAATGCAACAACAAATGCAGGCACAAACACTGCCTCCAGTGGTGTGCAGCAAGTGACTACGCAGTCTGCTGCTCCACATATACAGTTACAACAAATTGCTAACACTGCGGCTGGAGTAGGCGGATCCGGAGGAACAACAACTACCACGCATCAGTTAAGCTTAAGCAATGGGTCTCTAGTGTTGGTACAACAACACCCAGCACAAAGTGCAGCTAATCATCAGACCCATCATCAAGTTTTACAGCACGCCGGCATAACCATTCAACCGGCTACAACGCATCAACAAAAATCTCAAGTCATTACAACTACACAAATGAATGCTTTGCCTCCAGGAGCAAATTCAGCGTTGAGATCACAACTCACATCCAATGTGCCAATATTAGTAAGTCTTTCTAATGACTATGATTTTTTAAGGTTCTTTTTTTCCTAATTTGCTTTATCCAAAATATTTTAATAGCAAGCGCAACTGAAAGCAGCGCCAATTGTTACTACGTCTACACAACAACAGCAGCAACTGTTGCATAAGCAACAAAACACTGCCAGCAGTGCACCGAATACCGCCGTCGGTGTAAGCACTGCAAGTAGCAACACAAGCACCAATCTTCACTCAAATCCTGCTATAAATGCCATTGTCACCAGCATTATGAATTCAGCTAATCAGTGGCAGCAGCAGCAGCAGCAGCAACAACAACAACAACAACAACAGCAGCAGCAGAATGGTAAGTGAAATTCGATAAATAAACATGTAAAATGTTTGACTATACTTTTCTAAAAATTGCAGCATCAATAAATACCTCCAGTACAACAACAACTCTAAAGAATTCTAGTAATGCATCTATCTTGAGTTTACTGAATAGTGCACCGGCAGCCATGACTAGTACGCCGGTGGCGAGCGGAACTTTTACTGCTTCCACAGGCCAAACGCAGCAACAACAACAACAACAGCAAACTGTAACTTTAGTACAACATACCGGCCATACGCTCTCGCAGGCACAATCCACAGTAATAACTACGGATAGTTATGTTCAAGCAACACCACCAAGGCCACAAACACCGACAATAATCGCGGCTCAGCAGCGTAAACAGCAGAATGAAGTCTTGCAAAATCTCTTAAATCCCGCTAGGAAAATTAACATTGTAAGTGGTGGTGGTGGAGGAGGAGGTGTGGCAGGTACTACAACTACAACATTTCGTACGAATACTGCTGGCAATCTTATCGCTGTAAATCTTGGTCAAGCAGCAAATAATGTTGCGCAACATCATCACCCACATCACGTAACACAACAACAGCAGCAGCATCAGCAACAGCAAGAGCAGCAGCAAGCATCACAAACAACTGTTAGAGTTTCAATGTCAGCTTTGGCCTCTCAGTTGGCTTCACCTCCAGCCATTATGACCAACAGTACGAATTTTGGTAGCTATACCTTAAGCACGGTAAGCGGCACTGGCTCTAGCAACAGTGGCAGCATAAAAATTTTAAATAGTGGTATACAACAACAACGCGTTCTGGCGAGCGCCTTGCGCCGAGATTCACTTAATGCCAATCAAGCTCCGCCGAATGCAATAGTAGTGGGTGTGGCTGCACCCTCGCCAGGTTCTGATTCAAATGCTTCTAATGCCAGCGGTTTTGCCGTGCCACAGGCTGCTTCGAGCAATTCTAGCAACAACAACAACACAAACACTACCACGTTGAATGCGTTGTTAGCCAACGCCGCCACTCCGTCACCCTCAGGTTCTGATCATTCGCAATCATCACAAACACAAAATCAAACTTTACTCGAGCGCTTAAATAGTGGTGGTGTAGTTACAGCAGGAGCAACAATGCCTAATATGTCGCCGCAGCAATCATCCGGGCAAGCACAACAAGCCCAGCAGTATATAACTAAATCATTGGTACAATCACCTGCTACTTCATCTATACATTCACCCATGTCCAGTCCTCATCCCCAGCCTTCCCCTTCACCGCACTTACAGCAGCAGCAACAAGCAGGACAGCCACAAACAGCTACGGCTACATTAAACCTGCAAGGCATTAATTTTTCTACCCTACAAGGAGCAATGGCTAATTTCCAAAATGTCCAGGTACAAATACCGGGTTTTACGCAGCCAATTTCTCTGCAGCTGACAGGAGGCAGTTTGCAGCCTCAATCAGGCAACGCCACAGTGTCGGTTGTGGCGACCGGTGCAGCAGCTACAAGTAACAGTAATGCTCAAAATACGTCCGCTGCTTCTCAAACTCATACACAGCAGCGAAGCCTTCTAGTATCCGTGCCAGTCTCTTCCAACACTGGTTCAGTGAACGTGCAGGAACAACATGGCGCCCAAAGTCAACATACTATCACATTACAACCACAACAATTGCATCAACAGCATGGATCTGGAGCGGCAGGTACCATAGTTAATTTGCCGGCGGGAGCGGTGGCTACAGCAACAGGTTCTACACAAACTGTAGTATTGACTAATAACTCCGGTAATGCAGCAGCTAGCTCAACAAACGCTAATGTCGGCGGTGGAGGCGGTACAGGGACTGCTGGCCCTGCGGGAGCAACTGGTGGAACAACTATGTTAACATTACCAATTGGTAAGTATTTAAAATCTAACATGTGAATGTAATTATAAAAGAGTAGAAGGGATTAGACAGACACTCAACGTCTAGAAAAATGAAAAAAGAGTTTCTAAAGAACTCAGAAATAGAAACAAGTTTCAGTCGTTCAGAGAAAGACTAAATATAATATTTATAGTTTTTTTTTTCAAATAGAGAAGCAAGTTATAATAAAAGGTGAGCGATAACTGTACGTTCGCTTTAAATATATTTGCGTACGTTTTCGCAGCAGACTGAATGAAACAAATGCCTTCAAATTCTCTAGAAAATATCGAACTGATATTTCCATCAGCTATTTATTAAAGAAGTACCGCGAATGTTTATACCTTTGTTAAGATGTTGTGACTCGAAATTAAAAAGCATTTCTTAGTGACGGTCAAGGTTTTCATAACGACTGCCTAATTAAAGCAAAAAATTTATGCCATTTCCTAGTCCAGTCAGCTTGGCAGTTTTCTAGATACTTTCCGGAATTTCGAAATTTTCTTAATCGTAATTGCCATGACATAAATGGGGATTTTGAAAAAGTTAAAAATTACCTTAAGTGATATATTACGTCAAGGATGATGGTCGACTTTTTTAGTTAAGACTTCAATTTTTTTTTTTTTTTGAGGAAAAATTAGGTACCTCGGAATAAGACGATCTTCTTTTATGTCCAAAACACTAATCGAAATGACGTGAACAGATTCATGGGAGCTGCTACGATCATTATATACTTTCGTTAAACTTAAGCACAATGTTTTCTTTTTTCTCGTACACTAACGGGTTTTGATTCAAGACCGTAAGCTTTTGAAATGATGGCCTTTGTGACGACTCCTCGCATAATATTCCATTTGGAAAAAGTTGTTTTATATGAAAAAAATTGCATAATTTTTTAAGATTCCTTGATAAAATTCTGTTGAAATTAGGACATTGACCTACAAAATATATGTGGGAAACTTGAATGGAATGGCGTAATTTTTTCAACTAACTGCCATATAGCCAGTCTTATGAAAGATAAGCTTCGTTCGTCATAATAGTAATTTGACAAAAAAAATGAACTTAACTAAATTCAGACCACATGGATCTATTTTTTCGGGTCTTACCTAACCTAAAAGTGTTATGAGAAGTAAGCTTTGGTTATTGCTTAGCACGAAAATTAATGAAGAATCATATTAGACGTAATGATGTAGGGTATTTAGTCGTCGCCCTCACTTGTCTACAATATTTTTACTTTCACAATAGTTTCCGTCGAAGTTGTTGATTAAAGGATAAGTCCTACGACCGCATGTGGTCATGCAGAAGTATGAACCGCCGAACGTCGGAGACTAAATTCTGCACTTTACTATATCTGTTATTCAGGAATTGGGGGCACACAGTGATATTTTATCTCATTACTAACACTTGGAAATATGATTTAGATACGTCTTTCACTTTGCGTTCACTTCACATAGAATGATATTCTCCTGGCTGCAAAATGTAAAAATAGGTTATTTTTGAAAATAGTCTTCTTCTTTTTCTTCTTCAATATTCTGCGAATTGACAACAGATGATACTCCGCGTTATAGATAAAAGGCACAGTATGAATACAAATTTCTTTGCTCACAAGCAGTTAAAGGAATGTAAAAAAAAAAAAGCAAGAAAATTATATTCGGTTGTGCCCGAATCTTTTATATACTACTAATCACGGTTAACGTAAAAAAGAGAAAAAAATATAAAAGAACTAAATTTTCATGTTCCATAATATGAAGTGGGCCCAATTGATTTTTTCTACTTTCAAAAGAAAAATGATTGTCGCATAGACGGGTGGGCGATATAGGCGACATCTTCATTTTCGCTAACGGGAGAATATTTACCTCGGTTGCGCGGACAAATAGATGGACAGACAAACAGGCGGACGTTTTTTGGATGCATTACAAATATGAAACTGGCCAAGAACTTATATACTTCATGGGGTTTTTGAAGCTTGTTTCTGCGTCTTATAAAAGTAATGGAAAAAAAAATCAAATTTTGATACACTGTAATACTGAGTAAGCGTGGGCAATTTTTTCCAATTCTATGCCGGTGCTACGACATAGAACCCGTGTTCAATGAATGTGTTCAAATTTTTGTGGATTTATCTGCTACAGGAGTGACGTAGGAGTAATGAAAAAAACATTTTTTTTTTTTTATTACTTTTGAAAAACAAAGGTGTTCTCAGTTTACGTGACGCTGTGGACGTGTCCTTCGATCGATTTGGCACCATTTTGTTTATCAAACTGTGTGCGGGAACTTGCAATGCCTCTGCCGAATTTGAAGTCGATAGCTTTATTTTTAAGCGCAGAATACTGTTTACAACAGATATAACATATAGACCCACAGGCGGGCATGCTTAACTCCATTTAAAATTTTACGCTGATCAGGAATATATATATATAGAGTCTGTGATGATTACTTCTGGGCTCATCCTTCGGTGATAAGTATAAAAAAAAAAAAAAAAAAAAAAAAAAACTCATTAGATTGAACGAAGTCACTTATATTTATCATATTTGCTTACGGTGTCAAATATTATTCATCTCTGAAAAGGCCAATAAAGATTTGTATTACTCGTATTGGACTGGCTATCGAAACTGCTCTAACATTTTCATTCGGCGCCAAATTAAGATTTCGATTAAAGAAATCGTTCCTGTCCTTCGGGCGGAGTTTTGATTAAAATTAAATTTACCCTGACATATATTTAAAAAGGTTTAATTAAAATTTGGCTTCAGTTGATACCGCGAAGATAGTTTATGATTGAAGAGCTGGGTCCAGCAACTATTACGTCTAAATAAACTCGTCTTTCCGAAATTCGTTAAAAAAATATAAATGCTCTTTAAAGAAAGACTACTCGCAAAGCATTAGTTTTTATATAAATTTTCGAACGACATGAGAGTTTACGGCATAAATTCAAGCAAATTATATAAAGTTGGGATTGGGGTTTTGAATATGTTTGCTTTCCTTCCGCGCTATCAAACGCCAATATCGCAGTCATCTATTTCTGTCACTTAATCCTCTTAATCGTCTACACTTCGTCATCCAGTGTTAATGATCTCTTGTGTACTGTGGTGTCAGTTGCTGCTTTACATTGCACATGTCGGCATATGAAATTACTTTCTCGAGCTGCTATGTTAGTAGCAAATATTTATTAGCAAAATTATGTCCACTTAGGCAGATTGAGGTTATATCTAATCTGAGAATTTATTAAAGGCTTGATTTGCTAGGTTCGATCGGAGCGAGAGGCATTGAGAGAGATTATCTTTGTAACGAAATTTCGCAAATTTCGCATATCTGACATTCACAGTTTCGCTTATGATACATTTTTTCTTTACGCGACTTATAACTCGACTTGTGAGCATAGCGTGAAAGATGATTTCATCCTTTCGAAAGGCAAAAGCAATAAAATACAGGTTCTCTCTGATGTTTGATTTAGTTAAGTACACTTAATCCGTAGGTTGGAGGAATGAGGAAACCGAAAAAAAACTACAAACAAATTATACATGGACTTATAAAATGTCTCTGAATAATGATTTCGTGAAAAAAAAAAAAATTCACATTAAAAAATCTTTAAAGGAAGGAATCTCTGTTGTATTAGAAGAGTTCTGTTAGTATTAAATGCCCCTTTCCCCCTCTCTTTTAGTGCATTAAAAACAGGATTCAAAGGTTCAATAGTTTCTTTTTCGAAATTTATTTTTACTACAAATTCAAATTGCACCAAAAAATATTCACTTTATTTTTGAATTTTCTTTTATTTTCTATTCACCTTTTTTACCTCCTGACCTTCATTTATTCCACTATCACTATTTTATGTAAAAACAAACAAAAAAACAAAAAAACAAACACTCGTAATATATATTTTCTGCATTTTGTTTCATCATCGACTCAATATTTTTATTTTAGTTTAATAACATTTTTATTTATTTATTTATTCGTTTAAGTTTGAATGAAGAAAAAAAAAAAAAAAACAAAACAAAAAAAGAATCAAAAATCAATTCGAGTTTAGATGGGTAGGGTTGTGTTTTGCTCGTGAATAACTTTTAGGCACTGATTGTTCTTTCATACAAACTAACCTATCAAATCAATCAATCAATCAATCAATCAATCAATCAAGTCCAATCAAATCAAATCAATCAATATCAATCAATCGAACAGCAACAAACCAAAAACCCGCGAATTCCCAATTTCTTGCAGCCCAAATAGTCGGCGCGGGTGTCCAAAAGCTAAATCCTTCCGCATTGAGAGCAAGTGCAACAGGAACAGCGACTACAACTGTAGGCGGGGTGGGAAGTGCGAATGCCGTTTCCTCGACGGGAGGTAGTATTATAGTGCAACAACAGCAACAGCAACAAACTAATCAACAACAAACACAAACGGGTAATATTCCGCAGCAACAGCAACAACAGGCAACTATAACTGTGAGCAGTACCGGAAATGCAGGGAGTCAAACAAATCAAGCCATACAGCTAGTTGGCACCATACAGCAGGGCGGACGTAATATACAAGTTGTAGGTGCAAAACATTTAGCTGGTAGTCGTCAATTAATAACGCAACGACAAATCGGTGGATCGACGTTAAAAATAGCCGCGGCTACAACTGTTAATGGTGAGTTAATTTTTGGAAAATATCCATTTTTTATATATAAATTAAATTGCAAATTTTTCTTATTTCGTTTTATTCAATTTTAGCCGGTACTAACGCTGCAATTACTTCAGCTGTTAATTTAGCTGCCACTTCCATTGTAATGTCTACACAAAAGCTACAATTGAAAACAATAAAAGCCACAGGTCAACCCCAACAACATCAGCAACCGCATCAGCGTATATTAAATCAAATTACAGCAAGTCAAGCATCACAAACTACACCGCAACAAGGTCAACAACAACAACAACAACAGCAGCAACAGCAACAGCAGACACAACAGCAACCTCAAACGCAAACGGTTATAATAGGCCAGACGCAGACTACGTCACAACAACAGCAGCAACAACAGCAACAACAACAACAAACGGCAGTTGTGCAGCATCAGCAAGCACAATCGCAAACGTCGTCAACGCAACCACAACAGCATATACAAATACAGGCGAGAGCGGGCAGCAATTTAAGTCCACGTGCCATTACAGCTATAGCAGCTGCGGCTGCTGCTAAACAGCAACAAGCTGCTGCTGCAGCAGCGGCCGCTGCAGCTGCCGCTGTGGCTGCTGCTAATCGTAGGCGTTCAACGACTGATGTAAATAAGTAAGATATGAACGCTTTCTGTATATAATGGAAAAATTCTTTAAAAGGACAGAAAGAGAGCGAAAGAAATAATAGATGACGTGAGGGAGAAAGATTGAAAAATCTGCAGGGTTTTTAAAAAATTTTTAATTTTGTCGGGAGATTTTCAATTATTAAGGATATTTATTATTCACACATAATGTAGTCATTTTACACTTTCTATTTGCATTCTTCTTTATTTATTTATTAATATTGCAATTTTACAAAATATTTATATATATATATATATATAGTTTTACAAATTTCTTTCCCAGGCATGACATTATTTTTTCCTGTTCATCTCTTTACCTACTCTTTCGAATATTCAAATTCAAAAACTAAAAAGGCAGAAATGATCGATGGAACGGAAAGAGAAGACAGACTTGTCCATAATATATATGAAATGTCTATATAATCAACGAGAGATCTTTCATTTATATCAAAAAAGAACAAAGCGTGTGAAAACTTTATTTCTTATATATTATGTGATCAACTTACGGGGGACGGTGTACACACTGGCATGGTGTGTTACTAGTCATAAGAGAGAAAATAATGCGTTTGCTTTTTGACTTTTAATTTTACTTTGAATTTTCGTATTACGAAGGAGTTCAAAATCGTTAAGTCAAAGAAACCACAAACGACAAAATAGGAAGAGAAAATCCTTGTGACTTGTAAATTGTGACTTGTGACGTCTCTTGAATGTTGTTCAGGATACGACTATTAGTCTTTAGCTACATCCCATTTCTATGTCTATTACTGAAGAGAGAGTGTTACAAGTTAGCAGGAATTTTAAGAAATTTTTACTTCTAGTTTTAATTCTTCTATTTATCATTTATTTTTAACATTATCATCATGATCAACTATAAAATGAGTGATTTTTATCATGTGTTTTTAAAAAAGAGAAGGAAAAGACCAATAGCCAATTTTTCCCCCTCTATATGAATATCCGATATTTCAATCATATTTACTCTTCTATTGCAAACATTAGTTTATTACTTATAAAATTGTACGTACACTACACATGTTTATTCCCTATGGTCCAACAATCCATTGCTGCTGCTATATTACAGTCCTTTGGGTTATTTTCTGCAAACGCAACAGCCTCCTATCCCTAATTTTAGAATACATAAGCATATTATTTGGTTGACGTTATATCTTTCTTTTTTATTTTATTGCATCGACATGAATTCCATAGTTATGTAATATGCATGATGAGTTCTTTCCCTCAATTTCGAGTGACAAAAAAATATTTCATGTTTTAATTCTCCTTTTTAGATTGAGTGACAATCATAAAGAAGATGAACTAGATATATATATATATATATATATATATATATATATATATATGGATATCTATATGGATATATATATATGGATATCTTTCTCGAAATTGAAAGCAAACAGGAAAATTGCATCCAAATTCGAGACAACTATAGTTTCTTCTTTCCCGATTCCCTCGGAATTAGAGAGAAGGGCTTTGAGATTTAATTACATTCTGCGCTTATCCGCATTTTGAGCATGAATTCTTCTCCTAACTCGCCGTTAAAGCATGCATAACAGGTTGCTGGCTTTTTCTTAATTCTATAGTTTTTTCAACTCTTTTTCTCTCACTTTCTCACTCTCTCTCTCTCTCTCTCTCTCTCTCTCTTTCTCTATAATTAAAGGAATCTAAAGGTTTTTGAGCTGCTCTACAAATGTAACACATTTTATACTGTTATATATTATAATTTACTTTTCTATAGGTTGAAGTTATGAAAGTTGTGGCTTCGGGACGTAAGCTATAACTATTTTGATTAAGGGTTTTGTTTGTTAAAATATATTTTCTTTTGAGGCTGTTTAACACTCCCATTATTAAGTGTTGTTGTTGGTGATATGTAATTAAAAATTTTTTGATTGTAAAAATGCTTTCACTTTTTCATTAAAATTTTTTTTTTTTTTTTTTTTTTTATTATGTATTATTGTTTTCAGTTTTTTTTTTTTCGAATGATTTATACTAAGTTCTGTTTTAGCTTTTTATGTAATTAAAAGATGATATTGTTAGAGGATTATTATTGATTATTGGTCATGTTGTGAATTAAGATATTGCAAGAATTGTAATAAAAATGCTTAGAACGATAAACATAATTATGAATAATGAAAGAATTTTCTACTCCCGCAACCACACCATACATTATTGTGTTAGAGAAAATTTATATAGCAACAGCTATAATGTAATCAGTTAATATTTGATGTATATGTATATATATGTATATGTATATGATAAAAATATATACGATATAAATATATATTTAATATAATATATATATATATATATATATATATATGTATATATATATATACATATATATATTTATATATCAATATCAGTGTATGTAATAAATTCATATTTAAAATTATACTTAAGTATCTATACATAAAATAAAAATATATATATGATGAAAAAAAACACATAACCAAAAGGTGCATAGAAATTGTTAGAGAAAAAAAAAATATATATA